ATATATATATATATATATATGTATATATATGTATATATATATATATATATATATGTATATGAAATGATAAAAAATCATACAACAATATATATAAATGTATATGAACTGTCAAATTATTAACATATATTTAAAAAAATGCATATATTAAAAAAAGATAACATAGCACTAGGTGTGGGCGATATGGAGAAAAAAAATCATGCTTTTTTTCAGGAAAATCACGATACACAATTTTGTCACAATTCATTGTCATGTTGGATTTACTATTTTGCAAGTTGTCTGAGCATTACAGCCAAACTACTTTCCCTATTTAAAAAAAAAAAAGCCTTACAAAGAATGGCAGGCATTTAGGCCAAAGTGGGTGAAGATACAATTTTTTGTCATTATTTTGTCTTTGTTATTAAAAAATAAGAACAAAGATAGACATTACAAATCCACATAATATACAAATAAAACAAACAGTGCTTTATTTTTGAGGTATAGTAGGTGTATTTAGCAGTAACATTCAAGAAATTGAATGAACAAATATTAAAATAAAACACTATATATACTTTTTTTACTTTTTTTTAAAGCAACTGACTGATAATAAGTTCATCAGTCAATAGCAGTGAGTGATTTTTTTGTTGTTTTTGTTGTTTTATTAACATTAAAAGAATAGTTCACCAAAAATGAAAATTCTGTCATCTGTCTTTCAATTCTGTCATAGTGTTTAATTTGTATACCATCATTTACTCAAGTTGTTTTAAACCTGAATCAGTTTATTTCATCTGTTGAACAGAAGTTATTTTTGAAGAATGTGAGTAAGCAAGCAGTTGATGGTCTTTGTGGGTAACGGGTAACCAAGCAGTTGCTGGTCCCCAGTGACTTCCATGTTATTTTTTTCCTACTGTCAAGTGGACCAGCGACCAGCTACTGTTTGGTTACTCACATTCTTCAAATTAACTTATTTTGTGTTCAGCACAAGAAAGAAATTAATACAGGTTTGGGACAAAATCTCTCTCAACTGTTTACTTTAATTTTAGACATAACCAACTGTGTTTATATGTAAACCTTGTGTGTTTTTGACAGTATTAGACGCAAAATCAATCAGACGCGAAAGACAACTTAGTCCAATAATCAGGCACTTTTTGACAGGCTCTCAGTGTGAGCGCTGAGAACAGCACGTGAATTAAATGTTTAACCGGTATTTCGTTAAAGCAGATGGAAATAGTGTAGTTTTGTGATTGCGCATAAGTGCAGGGTCCCGGAGAGTAAACTCCGCTGAGGAGCTACTGATGTGAAT